CTGACTGTCTGTAAGGTCTGATTGTGGGGAGGATGCATTGAGCCCCAAATGAACTCTTTTTTCCGTCTTGCCCTCACAGCTTACCATCATATTTAAGAACATGCAGGAATGCATTGATCAGAAGGTCTATCAGGCTGAGGTGGACAATCTTCCTGCAGCCTTTGAAGATGGTTCTATCAATGGAGGTGCCCGGCCTGGGGGCTCAAGTTTGTCCATTCAAACTGCCAACCCTGGGAGCCATGTGGAGATCCGAGCTGCCTATATTGGCACAACAATAATCATTCGGCAGACAGCTGGGCAGCTCTCCTTCTCCATCAAGGTAGCAGAAGATGTGGCCAGGGCCTTCTCAGCTGAACAGGACCTGCAGCTCTGTGTTGGAGGGTGCCCTCCAAGTCAGAGACTCTCTCGCTTAGAGCGCAACCGCCGGGGAGCAATAACTGTAGATACTGCCAGACAGCTGTGCAAGGAAGGGCTTCCAGTTGAAGATGCTTACTTCCAATCTTGTGTCTTTGATGTTTCCATCTCTGGTGACCCCAACTTTACTGTGACGGCTCAGGCAGCTCTGGAGGATGCTCGAGCCTTCCTGCCAGACTTAGAGAAGTTGCATCTTTTCCCCTCAGATGCAGGGGCTCCTCTCTCCCCAGCAACCTTCCTAACCTCATTTCTTTCAGGACTCTTTGTTCTGTGGTTTTGCATTCAGTAAGTAGGCCAGCAATCCCATGACTAGTTTAGAAATTATTTGGGACTAAATGTTGTCATGGAAGAACACAAAGAATTGCTAAAGGAAACAGTGGGACTAGGAGATACATGGAACAGTGACATTTATCCAGTCAGATGAAGCTCCAGTGAGGCTGACATGATCAGAGAATAAGGATTTGGCAAGGTTGTTGCATTTCAGATCTCAGTAGGGGCTCCTCACCATTTTTCCCAGTCCCACTTACAGTAAGAAGATTATTCCAATCCATCTACTCATGAGATCACTCCTATAAGCTTAGACATTATGGGGGTGCTAAAGGCCAGTAAAGAATTTAAAGGTTGAGATTTCTAAGAGGCAAGAACTGAAAGAGAAAAACATGACCATTATCCAAAAGAAATTCAAGAGAAAATATCTGAGGAAACTATTCTATTTAATGAATATATATATATATATATGGATAAAGTGTGTTCTGTTTTATTTGTTCATAGATGAAGAGGGCATTGTCTGGACCTTAGGTGAAGAAAGCTGACATTTAGAGAATGGCACAGCTAGGACAGAAGCTATCACCCCACTTCCAATCAATCTACTATTAAAGCTCTAAATTTCCCAGACTGCCCTCTGTTGCTTTGTTGAACCTCTCTACAGATTTCATGAAATGGAATAAAGAAAATGTATTCACTCCACTGAAAGAGGGCTCAGAAGTTATCAGCTGTTTTTTCTATCTTCCTTGAGTTTATAAGCTATTGGAGAAAACAACTGATTCACACGAAGGACTCGTGAGTGTGTGATTCTTCATTCAATTCTGTGGTACTATGAATTCAGATGGGAAGATAGTTGATAAGAACTAAAGTAATAAGAAGTAGTAAAAGGTAATAGAGGAGATGGCTTATAAAGACAGCATTGAAGACTGCGTAGGATTTTAATTGTTGAGGGCTTTCCACTTGAAGTTATGCATAGGTTCATGATTTGGTGAGGAAAACAGCAAAATTCAAGTGAAGTACACAGGAGTAATGAGATAGAAGTTTAGATAGAGGTTATGAAGCACCTTGAAAGTGGGATCAAAGAGGGTGCAATGGTGCATGCCGATAATCCCAATGGCCTAGGAGGCTGAGGCAGGAGAATCTTAAATTCAAAGTCAGCCTCAGCAATTTAGCGAGGCACTGAGCAACTCAGTGAGATCCTGCCTCTAAAATAAAATACAAAATAGGGCTGGGGGATGTGGCTCAGTGATTGAGTGCCCCTGAGTTCAATCCCCAGTACCAAAAAAAGAAAGGAAAGTGGGGTCAAACAGTTAAAATCTGACTAATAGCTAACATTTACTGAGAGCTTGAAACTCTGCCAGGCAATGTTCTAAACACTTTAAAAATATTAATGCATTTAGGTCTGGGAATGAAGCTCAGTGTTAGGGTATTATCTAATATGTAATATGTATGAGTCGCTGGGTTCCAACCTCAGCACTGCAAAAATAATAACAAAATTCACATAACTCTCTAAGGAAAGTAGTAGTATTTTCTCAATTTTTATTTTTTTGTACTGGGTATTGAACCCAAGGGTGCGTTTTAACCCCTGAGCCACATCTCTAGCCGCCACCCCTTTTTAAAAATTTTTAAATTTAGATACAGGTTCTCACTAACTTGCTTAGGGCCTTCCTTGCTAAGTTGCTGAGGCTGGCTTTGAACTCGAAATCCTCCTGCCTCAACCTCCTCAGCTGCTGAGATTATGGGCGTGCACCACCACACCTGGCTCTTTTCTCAATTTTTACATAAGGAAATCGAGATACAGATGATTGACTTTCCCTCAGCTACATGGCTAATAAATAGCAGAGCCAGAAACTAATCCAGGCAATTAGAATCCAGAAACTTAACTTTTTCTTCCTTTTTTGCAGTACTAGGATTGAACACAGGAGTGTTCTACCACTGAGCTACATCCCCAGTTGCCCCCCAAATCCCCCCTTTTTTTAATTTTGAGAAGTTCTTGCTAAGCTAGACTTAAACTTGTGATTGTCCTACCTCAGCCTCCCAAATTGCTGAGATTACAAATCTGAGCCACTGAACCCAGCTCAGAAACTTAACTATCAACCACTACACCAAATAAGGAAACAGAACAGTTAAAAATGTTGGTTGTGGAGGTGGGCAGAAAAAGAGAGCTCAGGCAATGGAGGCCATGACAAAAGCCATTCTCTTTTTTTCACATGAATCCAAAAAAACAAGAATTGGGAAAGGAGAAAAAGCCCAATGTGGGGGGAATCTAGTTCCTAGAAAAAGACTGAGAAGAGAGGCCGTCATCGTGCAGGTATTCTAAGAATGGTGCTTCTCTGCACAAAATTATGAAGAAGTTACTTGTATAGTTAGTATCTTACTGAGTGACTGATCTCCTGTTCCCCCTTCAGGTCCTCTTTCATCTGGGGCCTGCCCTCAGGGATCTAAGCATGTATTCATCACTATCCTCCCCACCTTCTCTCAGTCCCATCTGCCTGACAATACTTCCCTGAACACTTTCCCATTGTTTATGAGACAAGTGTCCTAACAAGTTTGCTATTTCCATTTTCCTATGCAATTCCTCATCCCCTACTTATCCTTCTCTAAGGACCTCAGCCATTCCCTTAAAGCACAGATTCTGTGCTTTCTGAAATAACCTTTAGCAAATCTAGAAAACAGTCTGTTCTAATGGAAGAAAATGGGGAAGAGGGAGTACTCTATTCTGGGCTGACCCTTAATTTAGGGATGATATACACATTTTAGTGCAAAACTTATTTCAAAGAACTTCTTGTATTGGAGCTCTTAATTCAAGAGTAACTGTATCCCTCAGGTATGGGAATTTCAAGTGAATTTTTAAAAATGTCATAGTCAACTGGTGAATGAGATTTTTTTCATGGCATTTGTTGTGTTAACACTCATTCTTCACTGAGAATTAAGCATTAGCCCTATTACCTAGGAAGTATTTTAAAACAGATAGCTCAAAAAAAGCACATGAAAAGATGTTCAACATCAGTAGTCACTAGGGAAATGCAAATCCAATTAAAACTATAATGAAAAAACATTGTAAACTTAAAAATTACAATAAAAAAACGACAATATCACATGTTGGCAAGATGTACAGCTTTCACACACTAGGGTGGGAATGTAAAATGGCACAAGCACTTCATAAAACAGTTTGGCAGTTATTTTCAAAAGGTAAGTGGAAATTTATCATACGATTTAGACATTCCACTCCTGGGTTTTGACTCGGAAATAATGATAATGTGTGTCTGCACAAAAACTTGTACACAAATGTCCATAATAGTTTTATATGTAATAACCAAAACCTGGAAACACCCCTAATGTTCATGAACAAGTGAAGAATACACCAATTGTGATAAATCTGTACAATAGAATAATACTTGGCAATAAAATATAATAAACTCCTGACACACACAACAACATGGATGAATCTCAAAGTAATAACACAGTGAAAGAAACCATGTAGTATTCTGTTTCTATTACTCTAGTGAGATTCAAGAGAAGTTAACACAATTTTGAAGGTTCAAGGGTCTGGCACCTGCATTGGCTTGGTTCTGGTGAGGAACCTGTGGCAGAGGGCATCACAATGCTGAGAGTGCAATATGAGAGGGCAAGATCACATGGAGAGACATAGGAAGCCAGAGAGAGATTCCAGGTTGGTCTCTTTTAGAGTGATTTGCTCTAGTTAGAACTAACTCAGGTCTCAGGAAAACTACTTTAATCCCTCTTGTGGCAAAGCCCCAATAACCTAAAGACATTCCACAAGGCCCTACCTCTACAAAGTCCCACTGTTTCACCACTGCAACACTAAGGACCCAAGCCTCCAATATATGAACTCTTGGGGACAAGCCACATCCAAACCATACAGCAAAGCCAAACCAAAACAGAGAACATGCTATATGTTTCTATATATATAAAATCACATAAAATGCAAACTGATCAATGGGTGTTTGAAAATGAATGGAGGCTCACAGGGACCTGCAGCTGGGATGGATGCTGCAGGGTAGGATGACTATAGTCATGGTAGGGAGAGCAAGCCCCGTTCCCAGCTGCCATTCAGGGATGATCACTGGGAGTCAAGTTGCCATGCTTATGACAGAAAGGTGCCCCAGGCCTGCAGGTACTTCTAGCGGGGCTTCTGCTTCCATGGAGACCAAAGCAGCTGTCAGCACCCAAGGCCACCTAATCCTCCAGAATAGGACAGCTGCCATTCAGAGCCACACATCACCCCACCAGAGCCCCAGCTGGAAGGCTCTGCCATTCAGAGCCACCCCATCACCCCCAGGAGCTCCAAGTCCACCTACCTGCCTTCCATGGTTATGGCTGTAGGTTGGGCCTGGGCTGGGACCTGCTGGGACATGGAGCCTGGTCTACAGGAGGTTAGTGGCAGTTCCAGGAAGCCCGTCTCAATCATCTGCTGATGGGCATCACAGCCACTTCCAGTAATCTCAGCCACAGTCTGACTTTGTCTGGGAGCTGACAGCCTCACTTCAGAGTCTGAGCCTTGAGGAGTGGCAGAGAAAGCAGGGCAGTTGGGATGTGATGTGTGGCATCTGCATGGATAAAGTATGGGACAAGCCAGAAGCTCAGCTGGTGTTTGGCATCCTGCTCAGCTGTACCCATGCTCACTGCCTGGGCTGCCTACATACCTGGCAGAAGAACCTTCAGGACTTCCCACTAGATGTCATCAAGTCAGTGTCATGTCCCCAGGGCCAAGTCCATTCCAGCTACATAGTCCCCCACAAGCTCTGGGGTGGGGAGAATCAAGAAGGAGCAGTTCAATAGAAATTTCAAGGCTGAGAACAGCCAGATTGGCTGCCTGTTCTTCATGGGGGAGCGGGGGAGGTGAGTGGCCATTGCCCTTTCAAATCTGACTGCATCTATCTATACCAGCTTCCAGTGAACCCCAGCCTCTGATCCTCTTTGACCTAACAGTGTTCAACTGGTTTCTGGGAGTGAGGTACTAGGCCCAGCATTATTCTTAGGGGCCACCAAGCCAGAGGAGGATGTGCTTTTCTTCACAGATTATGCCCTGACTCTGGCCCTCTGGGGTTCAGAACTCCTGCTAGATCTCAATAGTTCTTACCATGTCTTTCTGCTCCTGGATCAGCTTGTGGAGCTGGGATGAAGAAAATGGGTAGTAGTTCTTTCCCCCGTGGGGTTTGATGATGGGCAAAAGTAGCAGGTGCTTCACCCCTGTGAACTGCAGCAGTGACACAACTAGGGGACACGGGAATGGGGGACAGCTTCTGGGGTGAGGAAGGATTCTCATCTGCTTGCCAATGTCTTGGTTTTAAACTTTGTTCTTTACTGGGAATTGAACAGGGCACTCAATCACTGAGCCATATCCCCAACCCTATTTTGTATTTTTTATTGAGAGACAGGGTCTCCCTGAAATGATTTAGCACCTCACTTTTGCTGAGGCTGACTTTGAAATTGTGATCCTCCTGCCTCAGCCTCCTGAGCTGCTGGGATTATAGGCATGCACCACCGCACCCCGATTAACTTTGCTCTTTCATAGAATTTTGGAAGAAAACTAATAAAATGCACCTAAGTTATAAAGAAGAAGAAGGGGGGGGGAGAAAATGAATGGAAGGCAAAAGGAACTTTGGGGAGGGACAGAAATGTTTATTATCTTGATTGTGCAGTCATTTCACGGATAACCAATGAAATTATACGCTTTCAATATGTATAATCTATCATATATCGAGTATATGAAAATAAAAATGTAATTTTTAAAAAATGGTAGCCCACCTTTCCTTATTCCTTTGGTAGGAAAGAAGGCTTAGAAAAGAAATATCTGAACACAGACTTTCTTTCTAGGAAAACAGAGCACAATGATAAGGCAAGAAGAAAGAATATTCAATTATTTTTATATTCTCCTCTCTAGTCCTAACATAAGGTCCATATCCCTTTCTCCAGAATGTCATTTAGAAGGTCAGAAACCATGATATTTACCAGTTAAAACAACAACCCTGTGACTTTTGTTTTTGGTACCAGGGATTGAACCCAGAGGTGCTTAAGCACTACTAAGCCACATTCCCAACCCCCTTTTTTTTATTTGAGACAGGGCCTCTCTAAGTTGCTTCAGGCCTTGCTAAATTGCTGAGGCTGGCTTTGAACTTGCCATCCTCCTCCTACCTCAGCCTTCCAGGTCTATGGGATTACAAGGCCTTCTCCACTTCCCCCAAAGGCTAACCATGTGACTCTTAATTCTGATTTTTCTACTTCATCAATAGTCAGCAGATGGCGCTAGTTACTAAAAGTTATTTAGTAGAGCATTGGGATAAGCCTCCAGAAGGATAATTAATTTCTTAAGATTATTTGAGGGCTGGGGTTGAGCACTTGCCTAGCATGTGTGAGGCACTGGGTTTGATCTCCAGCACCACATAAAAATAAATAATGATATTGTGTCCATCTACAAATAAAAAAATATTTAAAAAAAGATTATTTGATACGTTGGCCATTTGAGAGAAAGTATTAATAGGCATTTGATAGAAATGGTGCATAGTAAACTAAATTAATTATTATAACTTCATAAAAAAACAAAGGGCTGTTCAAGACATGAAACAATCAAAATTCACTACTTGACATCACACCGAATATTATTTACACAGTGAAAATAATATGAACAGCCACTACTGGCCTAACAAAAACTATGGTATAACTCCATTGGGAAGATGAGAAAAGGTCAGTGTTAGAACAGTTGCCTGGCATGTAAGAGGCCCTGAACTTGACCCCTAGGATTACCAAAAAAAAAAAAAGAATTAAAGAAAAAAAGAAATGTTAAAATTTCAGTCTATAATCAAAATATGGTAGATATGTCCAATATTCCTAATTTTTTTTTAAAGAGGATGGCATAGGTCTGAAATTCCAACTACTCAGGAGTTGAGGCACGAAAATCCCAAGTTCCACATCAGCCTAGACAATTTAGCAGGGCCCCAAGGCACCTAGCAAGACCCTGTTTCAAAAGAAAAAAAGAAAGAAAACTTTTTACTTTGAAATATGAAGCAAACACCATATGAAAAAGCTGAAAGAAAGGTTACTTCTCTATAAGGCATCTCAATCAAATCACTAACCATCATTATCAAATTCAAATAAAATGTCTGAACAAGGGAGGAAAAGCTGAACAAACTAGAAGAGAATCTCAGTAGAAGGGTTAGAGAACTGCATTGCTTTGTATAAACACTTAACATTGTGTAATTTTTTATTACTTTATATTATTTTGATAAAAAAGGGGGTGAGGCATTTCTACCTTGGTCTGAACTTTTCTCTTTAATGTTTTTGTTTGTTCGTTTGTTTAAGTGCTGGGGATCAACTCAGGGCCTCCCACCACTGCTCTACCACTGAGTGGCATCCTGATCCTCCCCTTAACTTCTTAAACTTATGTCTACCTCCACCATTTCTCAGATCAACCAAACACCTCCCTCCCCACTCCACCCAGCTCTTCATACTTTCATGGCAAATTCCTTCCCTCGTTTCTTCTTAAGGAAACAGAGATAATATCCATGGCCCAGCAATTAAAATTCTAAAAACCAGTGCCAGAAAACTACCAGAACTAAGGAAGGGAAAAAAGGCAGAACATTAGAAAATAAAAGGCTTTTCTCAATTTTTTTGCCTAATTCCAAACCAAATTATTCACCATCTGCACAACAATTAGTAGGAAGAAATACATTACATATGTTTCCTGAGATAAAACTGGTTATAAATGGAGGGTGGGCTTTGAGAAAGCGAAAGAGAAATCAGGAAGGATAACTAGATTCTGCTTCTACCATCGAAGCTATTGTGCAATCATTCTCTGCTATTGGTTCATGGAATGATTTTCCCAACCCCAACCCCAACCCAAAATGGGAAATGAACTCAGGGGTAGGCAAGTGCTCTCCCACTGAGCTACATTCCTGAATCCCCAGCCCTCTTCTTTTTTCTTTTTCTTTCTTCTTCTTCTTTTTTTTTTTTTTTAATAACAAGCATGAATTTACTGAAGAGACAGGAAAAGGGAAAGGGGACACTCTCAAGGGAGAGGGTGGGTCTTCTCAGAAAGAAAAGGGACCTCCCCAGCCCTTTGTAAATTTTATTTTGAAACTGCTTTTGTTAAGGCATAAGACTAGACTAGAACCAACATTTTTTTTTTTTAGAGAGGAGAGAGAGAGAGAATTTTTAATATTTATTTTTTTTAGTTCTCGGCGGACACAACATCTTTGTTGGTATGTGGTGCTGAGGATCGAACCCGGGCTGCACGCATGCCAGGCGAGCGTGCTACCACTTGAGCCACATTCCCAGCCGAACCAACATTTTTTATATATTTTTTTCTAGCTATACATGGACATAATATCTTTGTTTTGTTTAATTATTTTTATATGGTGCTGAGGATCAAACCCAGTGCCTCACATGTGTGAAGCAAGTGCTCTGCCACTGAGCCACAACTCCAGCCCCAGAACAAATGTCTTTAATAGCAAGGGTTTTATGTGGTGTCTTTGATACAGAACTTCTATTCCTACTGTTAAATAACTATTTAAGTCATATCTATCTATCTATCTATATATTTTTTTTAATTAGGTTAATAAGTCTCTCCATCCTGCCCTCCCACCTCATCTCACTCCAGCCCAAAACTGAAAGGCTCTTTGCTAAAACTACAGCCTCTGAAACAGAAAGTTTCTGTCATGGTTTTATTTTCTCTTTATGGGGCAATGTACTGCCCTCTATCTATCACAACCAAGCCTACAGCCTGGGGTGAATACCACGATCAGGATGAGCAAGGGGATAGGCTATATAACTAACACATTAGCTGGTCAAACTAAAAATAATTTTATTGATTAATTTTGACATTTCTTTAGAATTTTTGAAGCCCCTAAATTATGCCAGGTCATAAGACAAAGATCCTATCTTTGAAGAGTTCAGTTTAATGTGAAGAAACAGGTAAACACAAGACAAAATGATCAATATCAATGATAAATAGAAGTGTGTACAACATGCTGTCAGAATACAAAGAAGGTGGGAATTATATGTGCTTGAAGAAATCACAGAAAGCTTTACAAAAGAGAGGATCCCCCCACCCCCGCAAGAATCAGAAATGCACTAGTGGAAAGATCTTTGAACCATAAGTCAGATAGGATTTTGTTCAAGCTGCGTGAGTCACTTAAGCATTTGCATTTCTTTTTGCAAACTCTCTTGGTCCCTTAGTGAGAATCAAATATTTGTGCAATTGCTTTATAACTGAGAAAAAGAGAGTAAACAAAGAAAGTACTGTAGATTGTTATTCTGGATTTTTTTAAAAATAGAAAGCTGTTTTAATATATAGTTTCTTTCTCTCAGTTATGAGTACTATATTTCCTTCATCAGTATCTTCTTATAATTAAGAATCATCTTTACCAGTCTTCAGAAAAGCTTGTGTGTTTGAGAAAATTCTTGGACAAGGATCTTGACAGTACATTAAACCACCCACTGAGTGGCAGGGCTGAGCCAACTGGATTCCTAAACTGATGGAGAAAGAATTTCTCAGAAAAGGGGAAGTTGGGCTGAGTACGCAATGTCCCTCACACTTATAAACATCAACACAGTTCAATTTCCCTTCGTAGAAAAACAAACCATCTTCTCTTACTGCCCCTTAACTCTGATACATAATTGGGCAATTGGCTTTGAAGAGAACTGGTTATACATGTTACGGTATAGTAGAAGGAACTGAAACTCGGGTTTAAAGCCCAACACTAACACAAAACAATTCTAGGTTCTGAGTTAGTGACATACTGTACTCCAAAGACACCTATTAATTCAATGTATATTTACTCTGTGAAATGTACTTTAATAGGTGCTAGAACACAAAAATAAAAAAGGACATAGCTCCTACTCTCTAGGAATTCATTGTCTAGAAAGAAAATGCAACTTATATGTAAGTGCTATATGAGAAATATAAATAACATGCTATGAAATATTCAAAAAAGGTTGAATCAACCAGACACTGTGGTACACACCTATAATGCCACTGACTCAGGAAGCTGAGACCAGAGTATCACAAGTTCATGCCATTAGACAACATGGATTGGACCTGAGTAACTTAGTGAGACCCTGGCTCAAAATTAAAAATTAAAAGGGGCGGGGCTGGGGTCGTGGCTCAGCGATAGAGTGCTTACCTAGCATGTGCGAGGCCCTGGGTTCCATCCTCAGCACCACATAAAAATAAATAAATAAAATAAAGGTATTAAAAAA